CCCGCTACCAATGGCCCTAGAGTTGCGTGCGGGGCCCTTGGAAGGGGGCGATGGTCCCTGGTGGTGGAGCTGGAGCGCTGTTACGGGGCGGATGGGAGCAGATTGCTGGCGGGGGGACATGGCGACCGCACGGGTCTCGTTCCCTTTATGGAGCCTGGCCCGTCACCGGGCCGTGGAGCTCCGGTCGCGGTCGTTCCTCCGCTTAGAAGGACTTCTTGCAAGTGTGAGGCCTCCGCTGTCGGTAGTGGGGCCTAGTAGGAATGGCCTGAGTGCGCTAGAGCTGAGCCTGTGCTGATATCAGGCCGTGTTGGAGGGGTAGTGCTGGGAGGCGTCCCCGAGGCTCCGGGCTTTGCACCGGCCCCAAAAAAGCACAAGTAATAACCAGCGGAAAGTGACGCTTCCTTTTAGGTTGTGTGTTCTATCTTTTAATACAAGACGTACTGTGAAGGGCTTGCAGAAGAAAAGGGTTTTTGCTGCCTTCACCTTGACTTGCTTGATTACTGGAGAGACCTGCCTGTCTCTCTGAGTATAAAGTGACAAGTTATGGCTAGTAAGCCTTCATATAAGCAGGTGGGGAATTTCAGCTTTGGAGTGCTAAGGTGGAACCAGCAGGTAAATGTTGATTTTCTGTTAAAGTGTCTCGTGAGAAGTTTCAACTAAATCTAGTATTTTCTTGGTTTTGTCTTTGTTTTGTTTTTTCCTTCTGTTAGCTCAACATCTCTTTCCCAGCCACTGGCTGCCAGAAACTCATTGAAGTGGATGATGAGCGCAAGCTCAGAACATTCTATGAGAAACGGATGGCCACGGAGGTCGCAGCCGATTCTCTTGGTGAGGAGTGGAAGGTGAGAAGTGTAGAAGGATATGTCAGAGCTGATTCAAGGAGCTTAAATTACAAAATATTTCTAATATGCAGTTGTCACACTAGAGTGCTTGTTTGGTGTACATTTAGTAGGTAAGTTGAAAGTTTTTCTTGCTATATAGACTGGATTTGCTGATTAGGCTAGCCTGTTTTTGTACTTAGATTTATATTAAGTTCTTTTGTTTTTAAGCTTTGTGTTTATAGTTCTCTTGCTGTCCTTTGCAGTAGTTTTTTGTTCTTCATTTAGGTGCTGTGTTGGTATTTGTGACAAATTAAGTCTGTACCATGAAAGTGCTGATTCTTTCTTTAATAATGAGCTCAAAATTGCCCTCATTGTGTTTAAACTGCTCCTAGTGTATGGGAAGAAGCATGTTTGGCCTGGTGGCTGGGCTTGGAATAGTGGCCAGTCCAGGGGAATTTGGGTAAGGTGATCTTCTATGCTGCCAGCTTAACAAGGAAGGCAGTAAAAGCTTTACATTTCTTTTTTACCCATGTATCCCCTACTCCAGATGCTCTTATGTTGCATGCAGATTTCCAGTTTGTAAGGATAACAGGCTTTGGTTAGGTTTAGGATTAAAGAAAACCTAGACAGTAGTGGGCAAAATTCAGTCTGGTGTAGCTTAAACAAAACTTTGAATGGATAGGGATTTAATTCTTGAATAAGTATGAAAAAGAGAAGTAAAAGAAGTGTAAATTGTGGTACGCAAAGGTTTTTTCCCCATCTGTTAAGTAAAATTCCTGAACTGTTGAAATGCTGTTGGTTAAAGAAGTTGTTTGCATCAGCAGTAACAAGGACTTTTTCTGTCCCAGCGCCCTGTTTTGAACAGTGTATTGTGATACCCACTGCTTCTCCTTGGAGTAATAGAGACATGTAAGCGACTAAGAAGTGTATTTCTCTGTTTTCACAGGGCTATGTTGTCCGGATCAGTGGTGGTAATGACAAACAAGGCTTCCCCATGAAGCAAGGGGTCCTGACTCATGGACGTGTCCGCCTTCTGCTCAGCAAGGGCCACTCCTGCTATCGCCCCAGGAGAACTGGAGAGAGGAAACGCAAATCTGTTCGCGGTTGCATTGTTGATGCCAACTTGAGTGTTCTGAACTTGGTCATAGTGAAAAAGGGTAAGAGTCTGGATGAAAAAACCTGTAGGTACCAGTAGACACCTGGAAGGAGCCTGCTTGCTAGTGGCTGAGAAGTTTTGTAGAATGCAAATCCAGTCCCAACTTAAGAGTGTGAATGTGTCTTGAAATTCCCTCTGAGCATTCACATTCTCATAATTTTAAAACTGGCCACTGAAACACTTTTATTGCTGCTAGCAATATGATCGCATTAAATCAGCAAAGCGTAGCCAGGGGTGGCTCTAGTGGCAGGTGAACCCCAAGGATTGTCTAGTACTATCTTGATTTTTTTTATGCATTTCAAACTTAAAATTGAAATTCACTATCAAAGCAGGTAGTAGATGCAGGATTAATTGGTGTGTTTAAACTTACATTCTTGAAGGTGAAAAGGATATTCCTGGGCTGACAGACACAACTGTGCCCCGTCGTCTTGGTCCCAAGAGGGCTAGCAGAATCCGCAAGCTGTTCAACCTCTCTAAGGAGGATGATGTTCGTCAATATGTTGTGAGAAAGCCTCTGAACAAAGAGGGTAAGAACTAAAATTTTACAGCTCTTTGATTTAATGTAATTATCAGCGAAGAAGTACTGCAGTGAATGAAGCACACTGTAGTAGTAGATACAGGTGTTGACTGTCATGGTATTTAAGCTTTGTCAGCTCTAATTTACTGATAAGAAGTGGAGTTTCTTGATTGCTCTGTGTCTTTCCTTTCCTACTTTGGCACAATTTGTTTTTAAACGTTTGATAGAATCTGGAGTAATATTTACTACTGGTTCTAAGAATAATCCAAAAATAATTGTCAATAAAAGAAGGTTAAATATGAGGTGTAATGGTTTTGAAACATTTGTATGAGGTGGAAGGAGAAATATATATAGACAATATATTAATGTTTTTCCCCATTGTTTATGATAGTCTCCAAAATGAACTTTTCTTGGGAGGGCACTGTTTTGCTTACCACTTGTCTCTTGCAGTGTAAGATTTTTATTTTGGCTTCTGTTGCATTTGATCAGGGAACAGAAAGGGTAAGGATTTTTAGCAGAAAAGACGTGATAAAAGCTTGGGCACTGTGAAAGCTTGTTGGGTATAAGACCACTATTTTCTGTATCATACGAACTATTCTGTCCATTAAAGAATGTGATCCTGGTGGACACACTTGTTACTTGTGACTACGAAAGTTGGGCAGGATTGAGTAGTGGAACTTGACTGTTGTGTGTTGTTTGCTCATGGGCTGTGTAGATTTTTTTGGAGGTAGCACATTTCAAGCCTGTGTTGAATTGTAGAGAGCTTTTTTTAACACTGAAAATACAGTGGCTTATTCTGAAAGCTAGATGATGAGTCCCATATTCTTTAAGCTAGGGAGAATTATTCTCTAGGGAGAATTATTTCAGATGGGCCTGCTGAGAAGCTATGAATTTTCTCAAAAATGCAGAGAGTTAGAGATTCTTTACTTAGGCTTCATTGCTGATAACAAATTATGAGCATTAAGACTATATTTTGTTAATGCTACATCTGACAGTAATTGATCACTTTCCTTGCAAAATCTGTCAGGATGTTGAACTCGGTATAAGTTTCTGTAATAAGTAGTACACTAACTGATGTTACTATGACAAATGGAAATTACTCTTAAGATTGCTAGTTGAGGCCTGAGGCCTCTTTGGAAGATAATCTGCCACTTCTGCTTATCTGTAATGCTTTTTTAGGCAAGAAACCCAGAACCAAGGCTCCCAAGATCCAGCGACTAGTGACTCCTCGAGTTCTGCAACATAAGCGCAGACGTATTGCTCTGAAGAAGCAGCGCACTCAAAAGAATAAGGAGGAAGCAGCAGAATACGCAAAGCTCTTGGCCAAGAGAATGAAGGTATGTTTATCCTTACAACTCAGCTATATGGGATAGCTCATACCCCAGAATCAAGAGATTTTATAAACTTGACTGCATGCTTCGTGCTGCTCTGTACCTAGCTCACTTTGAATAGGAGTGACTGCATGTGAGCATAAATGTTGCTGGTCAGATGTTTTTGTGAGCATTTCCATCCGTTTTTGACAGTCTTAGAATAGCAGAAATTAACCAGACCAATTAATTTAACTGAGAGATGATTGTGAAGAAAACAATGAACAGCTACAGCTTGTGAAGATCAGTTTTGCAGTAGCAATTTGTTTAACTCAGATGTGCAAGCATTTGAGTCATTCCATGAAGAAACAGGATCCAGCAGTTGACTTGGATGGAAGATAACTTGTCAAGATGCTATTTGTTTGTATGAGTTTGCTCTTGCACCTAAAAAAACAGTGACTGCTGAACTGTTAGAATATTGGGCACAGTACTTGAGTGTTTCATGACTTCCAGACTGAAACTGAGAGAGACATCTAGTATGTTGTGAACTCTGCATAATTTTGCTGTAATTTTGCACACTAGCCCATATTGTTTAAAGACATGGGTCTGCACAGGTTTGAATGCTTGTAGAATTCTTCTGATCTGTGAAAAAGGGAACCTGTATTTTGCTTTATTGACTTAAGGAATCTGTTCTTTCTGATAGCTTCCTTCAAGCTGCATTTTTCCCTAGTTTGCTTCTTCATAGATGTTTCAAAGTGCTTGATGATGTGCAGCGTTAGTGCTCACTTCAATGCTGCTTTGCTTTTCAGGAAGCCAAGGAGAAACGCCAGGAGCAGATTGCGAAGAGACGCCGGCTTTCTTCATTGAGAGCTTCTACGTCTAAGTCTGAGTCAAGTCAGAAGTAAAGATGTGTATGATACTAAAAATAAACCCTTTTTGTGGTTAACTTTCAGTATGAGACTTTCCAGTGCATGTTGTTACTGGTTATCTTTTGAAATAAATGGTAGTCTAGACTGACTGCATCATGCAGACCGAACTGGAGCCACAAGCCTTGGTCTTGATTCAGTTCGCTTTTGAGAACTTGTAGTACATATTCATGTCTTCAGTGAGAAGTTCCAGTACAATAACTTTGTGTGTGCATGTTGATATATCTACAAGCAAGATCTACCTGTAACAGCAAATTCCTGTGTAATCCTTCAGCAGTGTCCACAGGAACTAAAAGCTAGTCTGTAGGAGCTGTGGGCACTTGCCACTGTTCAGTGGTTGGTTTGTTGGTTTTTTGGTTGTTTTCAGTCCTAAGAACAGGATGGTGTTGCCAGATGCGGAATCGTGTCACTTGCTTTCGATGCTGAGATTAGTAAAACGTACAGCTTTCAGCTGATGCTTGGCAGAATTAAGTGTAGTCAAATCAGTCACTGGAACAGGCTCCCCAGGGAAGTGGTCATAGCACCAAGCCTGCCAGAATTCAAGGAGCATCTGGACAAGAAGCAGCCTAGATGAGATTATGTAGCACCCTGTTTGGGTCATGTCTTGAAATCCTCCAGTGATGCGGAATCTGCCATATCCCTGGGGAGGTTATTCCAGTGATTGATTGTTCTCACTGTGTAACAGCTAAACAATACGTGCTCCTCTGCCCCTGTTGACAGATGTTATTTTGTAGTAACGGCATCAACTTAGCCTGGCACGATTTGCCTTTGGTAAATCTGTACTGGGTTTTCCCAGTCACCTGCTTTCAGCAGAGCTTTAGGTCATCGATGACTCAAATCCACATCTCGGAAGAGGTTAATGAGGTAGTATTCTCTCTCTGCCCCTGTGCACTTCCTGACTTTACTATGCTAGTATCTGCAATAAAAGTTTGCAGGCCAGCAGCTGCAGAAGTCTCTTAGCACCTTAACAGCATTTCAAAACCTGTGATAAAAAAAGTAACAGCTTCTTTGGCAGGAACTCTGCTCTTCAAGGGCAAAGTTTCTCGGCAAGCCTGAAGCTCAGCTAAAAAATCAAAGATAACTTAAGCTTCAGAGCAAGTTACTGGGACTCTTGTCACAACCTGGTAGGTTGTTATTTCATCTCCCCACAACTCAAGGAAACAACACACAACATCAACATACATAATTGGTTTTAACTGGCAAGGTCTGAATTCAGACAGTTTGACTACAGAAAAAAAGTTAGTTAAAAAATGCCAAAGGAAAACACTTTAAGGAAACCTAAACAAAAATGTGGGAACATCCCTCTAAACTACTCTGGTAACCAGGCAAAGCCAGCCTCTTCTCCTTCCAGTATTTTCTTTTTGGCTGCTTCCTGTCCCCACAGAGTCACTGAGACTGGTGGGCAACCCTGTAAGTCTGTAGTGTAAACCCCTGCTGAAGCCAGGGGGGTGTCCAGTTAGGTCTGAGCATTTTTTAAAGGCTGGAGACTCCACAACCTTGCAGGCAACCTGTTCAAGTGTTTGACCACCCTCACAGTTAAAATGTTGGATGTGGAATTTCCTGTAGTTCATTTGTGCCCACTGCCTCTTCTGGCACATGGCACCACTGAAAGAGTCTGACTTTTGTCCTCTGCTCACCCACCCCACCAGGTACTTAGACACATGGATGAGATTCCTTGCCCTGCCCCTTAAGTTTTCTCTAGGGTGAACAGTGCCAGCTCTGTCAGTCTCCCCTTGGGCGACAGATGCTCCAAGCCCTTCATCAGCTTTGTGGCCCATTGCTGGAGCTGCTCCAGGATGTCCTAGTCTTGTACTGCTGAGCCCAGACAGGCAGCACCCAGACATGTCTCGCCAGCACCAAATAGAGGAGAAAGATCACATCACTCTGCCTACTGACCACATCCTGCCTAGTTCACCCAGGACACTGTTGGCTTGCTTTGCTGTGAGGGCACTCTTGTGGGTCATGGTCAGGTTGGTGTCCACCAAGAACCCTAGGTCTTCCTGCCCAGCTGCTCTCCAGTCACTCATGCTGATGCATGAGGTTGTCCACAGGCAGGACCTTTCTATTTGCTTTTGGACCCTATCAGATTTTCTCCAGCTTGGCAAGTTAGTGATTCTTCCTTTCTTTGTCTTCTTAGACAGTAGAAGTTTGTCTCTACAGAGCTGGGCAGAACGACCACTAATGAGTATTCTGATGATAGCTCTGAACACATGAAGAATCCATTTCCATCTACCATCACATTCCCTCAAGTTTCCCACCTGATTTTGGCACAGGAGACAGCAGTTCTCTCCTCCCTACAGCTTCACACACAGATGCTGTGTTCATGCTTCTTTGGGGATTCCTCAAATGCATGCTTTTGTTCCTGTCTGGTGTACCCTCCATCCTTCAGCCTCCTCTCTCAATAGGCTGCATATTAAGAAAACAGTGTAGTATTTTTAGCAGGCAGCATTATTAAAAGGACAGCAGTGACAAAAGCAGTGAGAGCAAAACAAGCAAAGTCATTGTGATGTGGACAAGATTATAAAACAAAGTCCAAAACACAAATGGTTCCTGAGCTCCCTACCTAAAAAAAAGGCCTGAAAAGTTGTGTTTATTATGAGTCTTCTCCACATGCTACCAGTTTGTGCTATGCATATCAGTTTCTTCAAAGAGAAACGTCTTTAGGGTCTGGTATTCTTATTTTTACTAACAGATCAATGAACTGACTGCCATACATGAGGGAGTTTGAAAGTTAACTCAGATGTGAAGGCCAGAAGCACTTGACTGTAACTGACAGTTTCTACTGCTTAAATTTCATCCCAGCCTCACTGCCCCCTCCCCATCCTGGCCATGTTTAAAAAAAAAAAAAATAAAAATCTGGAAACTACATGTAAAATGCCATGAGACAGGAGGTCCACCAGTGTCCTGAAAGCATCTCTCTCTGCCCCCATTACAAAGCCACTCCCAGGAAGTGTTCCACCAGGTACAGCCACCAACCTGTTCCCACCCACTGATGAATGAATGATGTTGCTTCTGGTCAGCAGAGAGGAACAGCCCTGTCAAACAAGATCTTCATGCATTCTGCCTCCCTCTAACTGTTTTTCAATTCTTCTTACCTCTGCTAGTCCCCATGCCTTGCTTACGGTGCCCTGGAGCCATCCTCTCTCATGAAACAAATCTGCACAAATGAATCCTGTCTTTTCCCTTCCTCTCCCCCTGCCCCATCCACTCCATCTTCCCCACCATACAGAAGTCACTGAGGTACTATGAAACAATTCCCAAAAGAGACAGTCAAAAATCTCTGATTTTTAAATGCTGAATTTGCATTTAAGGTTAAATTCTGTCAAGCAGGTTATTTCCAATGTCAAAAAAGCTGAACAATTGAAATTTTACACAGGATGCATACATATTTTATTTTGGGAAATACATTAAAAACTGTTTCTTAGTCTAGGAGATCTATACAGAATTCAGAATATGTAGAGTGTCCTTTTAAACTTAAGAAACATTTGTCAAATGTACAAAAACATTACAGAGGAACACTTGTTAATCAACGCACAGTAAATGGATGCCATTTTTCAACAGTTCAAAACAGTCTCTAAACCAGTGCAAATTTTATTGCAATAAAGAAAACTTCCCAGCTCACTTAATAAATTTATAATTTATTCACGCTACATCCTTTCACCCTCATTACAATACAGTTTATTTTAAGCTCCTAAAAGGAGTTTAATGTGCTTCTAAAACCAGCAAACAATCCCTTTTATTTGCACCATTGATTGATGCAGACTGAAAGAACAAATAAAAATCCCATCCGTTTCTCTCCTCATGTGCATCACAATATACAGCACAGCAGAATACAGAACTAGAGTTCAATTCAATGATTCAGTTTCAAGACTTGAAAGTTACAAAGGTGTTTGTTTGGTTTTTTTAAAAAGGTCCGTAATGAAAAGCTGATATACAGAAGGCACCTTTAGGATTTTTATTAGTTAAAACAAAAAAAAAAAAACCTTTGTTGAAAATGTACAGTTAAGTGAATAAGATGACCTGCTTACTATTTAATGAAATGAAGTTATTTGTATTGAAGTAATTGTTGAATCAAGAGTTTTAAAAAGAGAAAACTACTGAGGGAACTCTTCAGTTACTTTTTAACATTTTGTTTTAAAAATATAATTCCTATGATCTAATTTAATATACATTTTGAAAATATCCCCTATGTTGCAGTTATTCAAAGAAAGAAGTAAACTCAATGAAAAGTATATTATTCTAGCTGCAGCAATACAAAAAACCCATTAATTCACAGTTAAAATGGAATAAAATTACTCATTCACAAGTGCAATGTAGCTTGAGCTTAACCAATGTGAAATTCCACTAGGAACAAGACTAAGTTACTTGCAAAAGAAATTAATTTAGTTTGAAACACATATACTAAATAAAATATTTTCCATTAAAATTATATTGTCTAAACTTCAGTTATATAAAATGTGAAGACAGGATGTGACTATAAGTAACATACAGATGCTTCTAGTAACACGCGAAAGCTAGTACCTGTTACTGTGCCAACACTGCAGCCACATCAGTCTCCTATACCTACAGGGTTTTGAAGGTTGTGATGTCTTGGTAATGTGCCAGAATATATTTATAATTAATAATGAAAAACTTTGTCACTTAAGAATCCTCATTTTAAACCTTTAAGACTCCATTTGTTGTTTCAATTCTACAAGAAAAATAGCTGTTTTGATATGAGCTCACAAGCTATATATAACTTTCAAGCTGTGTGAGAGGTGCAAGACAGAATTTTCTCAGCATAACTGACTGCAGTTCAGTAAACTTAGGGTAACAGTTCAAGGAAGCTTCTCTGTGATAATTGTTATTCCAACACAAGCTTTCTAAGTTCTTGGGCTTACCTGAAATTCATTAACAGTTTTCATCCATATATGTAATCATTTTGGTTTACATGTTCACTCTGTGCACACATTGCAGGTTCTGTAGTTAATACTGATCTGCAATGATTTTCTTCATGTTTATAAATAAGAATTCCAAAATACACACAGAAGAGCCATCTCTCCTCCTCAACACTGGCTGTTGAGCTACATGCCAGACTAGAAAGAGTATTTGGAGGCAAGAGTTTTTGCTCAAAATGCTACTTTTTCTGCTTACATTGAGAGGAAAACAGAACCAAGATCAAGCTTATCCACACCCCTCCTTCACAACACTTTGTCCAGCTCATTCATGCATTATGGATTCAGATATATTCATACTGGAGAGTCAAACAAATTAGAAGTATGTGTAGGTAACCAAGTCATTCCTATGCAGCCCAAGAAGTTCATGCTGTTACTAACTTGAGGAGAAGAACATTATGCCTTTAGTGCCCAATTTTCAAAAAAAAAAAAAAACAAGCGTTTGCAATGCACTCACAAAAAGCTTTTGAATAATTTTTCCCTGTTTATTTTTAGCCAGACTATCAACCATACGAATATTGGGCCACGCTAAGCTACTTTATGCTATGCCCTTTTCTTATGCACAGTTCTTTCAGCATTCAAATTAGGGAAGCCTACATCTCAGAAAGTTTGTGTAGGAAAACTTGAAGTCTGTACCTGTTTGTAAGGAGGAAACCTAAAAACCAGAAGAACAGGAAGTGCCATCATGCATTTCAAAGGAGAGAAAGCAACTAGGAAAACATGCACACAGTTCTTAATTCCTTTAAAATTTTTGTGAACTTTTTTTTTCCCCCCCCCCCAAAAAAAAAAGCATCTCCTTAGATGAAAACTTTATAAACAAATAGCTTTCAGAGATCTCCCTATTCATTTGAACTATGCATTTCATTCAAGAACCAGTCGATTAGTCAGCTACTAAAAACTAGGCATTAAAAAAATCCAAATTAAAAAGAGTAAGCACTTACTTTTGGCATTCCATATTAAATTAATTTCAGTAGGCAGATTCAAGATTTCAAGTAACTATATGCAAGATTTCTACCACTCTGAAATCCAGGTACATACAGCTGGAATAGAAGTTAATTTGTAGTGTACCAAAATGCCAATATGGAGGAGAAAATCAAAGCAAATTCAATCCTGCAGCTGTCCTTTCCCCCCCAAGCTTCAGGGCCTGTTTTGTTTTGTGTATATACCTGGGTAAAGCCTAACATTCAGCACTAGATGCTGTGACACAATCTGCTTTGCTGTTTCTACAACACTACTGCCTGATTAATGTATATATTCAGCAAGAGATGGGAAGGTTGTTTTGAAATTAAGGTGATCTGCTTACAGAATTTAGTTTATAATAGTATTATTTACAATGGTTTAGAACAATTTGGATGTCACCAATTATCTAAAACAGCACTCATTGGACAGATTTTCTTTGTAATTTAATGAGCTGGGAGAATTTAAGGATAACTAAAACTTGATTCCTTTCAAGTTGCATCACACAATCATATGGTTTGTCCATTTAACACTCAAGAATTGTCTTTATATAGTTGTATGTTTAAAATCAGTATAGAATTATACAGGAAAATTTTCTGTTTTGATTAGAAATATAATAGAAATATGAAGTTGTTTGGAGAGACTTTTACTTTAAAAGGATGGAAATGCTCATGTCAATTATGTAACAGGAGAAGAGAGGAAAACATGAAGAATCAAGCTCTACTCTTCCATTGTGATGTAGGTGAGATATCTGCAAGCAACCATGCATAAACCCAAAGAATAAAGAAAGAAAAAAAGTCAATATGTGCTTTCTTGCTTTAATTGTCGAGAAAGCACAGTATTTTCATCAGGAAAGAATCTGTCCAGGCAATATCCCCTTATTAACTTAGGATCAGCACTTTCAGACAAATGCAAGGAATCAGTCTATTATGCAAATGTATTTTGTCACAAATAGTGCAAATCCTTTGTTTTAGCCTCATGAAAAAACAAAAGTTGGTTTTGTTGTTTCATGTAGAAGCTGTTGCAGACAGATCTTCATCCCTCATCATTTTCAATCATTAAAATTTTTAAGAAAGAGAGTAGTATAAAGTAAATGCATTCATACTCAGATGTGATTATAGTTTAAGCTATGCTCCTTTAACATGCTACAAATCTTACCCTTTTTTTCTCTAGGAATAATTCCATCAGGAAAGCCACACCATTAAATTTCAGCAAAAAACCTGGAATAAATCTTATCATATTCCTCAAGTAACAGAAACATTTAAACTGTCAACCAGTATCCAGGCTCTTGCCAAGACTATGACTACCGTAGTCAATTAGGTATGTGAGGTGAGGAAGTGTCTTATCTACTATAAGCAATCCAAAAGATGGATTCACCTTTTCAGATCATACACTCAAGCACTTAATTTGTGCTAATATACACCTTGAAGACCACATTTATAAATACATTTTAATTGAAATATTGAATTTGGACTATCAGTGCAAAATAATTAACCCACAGGCTAGCATGAAACCATGGGAGAGGGTGATAAAGAATTCAAGGAAAAGACACTTTTTAAGTATACATGCATAGAGTATAAACCATATTTTTTTCAGACAGTGTCTGACAAACCTTGTATGTATCCTAATGCCATTTAAGCTTCCTATCTTATTTTTAGAAAGCCATCCATTTCTGAGCTGCTTAGTGTAGAAGCCCATCATTCTTTCAGAGAAAGCAGCAGTATGTTCATAGGATCTTTAATTTGTCAGATAGAGAATACAGGAAAACTGAGTGTAAGTTTCTGGTTTTTACAACTATAGACAATACATTATGAAAAGGTAAACCGAAGATAATTTAGAATACTGGTTGGGACAAGGGTCAGGAGAAGGGTGGCTATTTTAGGTACTGTGATCTGACAAAAGTAACTGCATCACAACTTCCAATCCAAGGACTCAAATATTTACATTCATACATATGTACTGCACACCAATAAAAAGATCCCTCTTTAGGGAAAGGTCACTTTAAAGAAGCAGTGAAGAGTCAATGTATTCTGTGGCAGGAAAGGTATTTCATTAAAACAAATATTGGTGGCCCTTAAGAAAGTCACCAACTATAGGCTGCTGTTTAATCATCACCTTTTTGAACAAATTGATATTGTGGGTGAAAGATTTGAGGAAGGAAAAGGAGAAGTATATACACAAAAAAAAAAAAAAGCAGATCAATCACTGAAACCAACTCACCCTACTAATATAGTTTTAAAACATTTTAAGGTACTTTACACTGTGTCTCTTGAGATGAAAGACAAGAATATATGTTGTAGCTCAATGAAACTGCTTTGACAAATTGCTCAATTATCACCTTCTGGGATTCAAAGTGTATATACCACCATGCTCCTCATTTGTTCACCTCTACTTTTGTCTCACTGAAGTGTAGCATCTGTTCCTCATTTTTATATGAAAGGTGCTCCAAAGCACTTCCTGCAACACTCAACCCTGCTGCTTGGTGGAGCATCTATTTTCTGAATCTTTTCAAGAACGTCCTTTGGTAGATTTTTATGTGCAAGTCTGTATTCACTATCAAAGACCTCTGAAATAGAAAAATAATTGAAGTTATTTAAGAAACCCTGTACAGTGCATGCTACTGTTTCTACAAAATACTTTCGTTGATTTTTATGTAATAACAACATAATTAACTTAACTAGCTGCTGATTTTTTTTTCCAAAATGCATCCTCTCACAGAACCTGAAAAGCATCTTAATGCTGGAGCACCACAATGCATCACAGTGGATGCTCATTACTTCTGTCACAGTTCAGGTTGCCTGTGCTCAGGGTACTTCCGCTGTTATATCCCATAAGGGAGTTCCTTTGCTTGCACAGTACCAAACAGAAGTCAGGGTAGAGGACATCAGGAAGGGGTGGGCAATCAGGTGGCTAGATGACATAGGTCTAACATGTCGGTCAGAGAAAGATGGACAAGACTGGGAACAAGCTTTCAGACATGAGGAATTCAAGCTTCAAGCTAATAAACTTTGTTTAAAATAACTGATTACTGGTTTCAAACAAAGTAAAAAATAATGGCTCCATCTCAATTACATTTTCGTAAAAGCAACACCTACTTGAAGAGTGACACCACTGTACTTTTCACTAAAACATAGTGACTGAAAAGTTACATAGAAACTCATGGATGAAAAGTTGATTTTATACACTAGTTTTCATATAAAGTATTCATATATTTCATACACAGGCACTATGAATGTCACAGTTTTTTCTACTTACCAATGTCAATGTTCTCTCTTCCAAGAGACACCAGAGACAGGAAAAGAATTTCTCTGTAGAAACTCCTAGGAAATATTATGAAGGGCAAATCAATGAAAGCACCAATTATCCTCAGTTTAGAAAGTCAGTGTTGGAGACACTAAGCTTCCATTATGTAGTGTCTGCAACTGTTCTGGTTCTTGCTTGTGAAGAAAGTGACCAATCTACATGATTACTAGCTTAAGGTTTTCTCAGGCCTGAATATTTTTACTTAATGCATGAAGTTATATTATTGCCAAATTAAGCAACACTTATTAATTAAATCATTCCTGCCTTAGGGTGAAGTACAGGGAAGCAGGCTTGTTTCAGATCACCCATACTTTTTTTTTTAAGAATGTCATGATCTATCTCAGAATTGGGTATCACAAAACAAATACATGTTATTTTTTTTCTTTCTAGAACTCATTAAGATTCTTCTCTAGGCAGATTACTTCCTGTTTCTTTTTAGTAACTACAGACCACAGAAGCAAAGATGACTTAGCATGATAAACTTAAATTGCTGTAATTTACTTCAGAAGCTGTGCTTTTGTATGAAACCCTCTTTGAACTGATGGCAAAATGTACCATAAAAATGTTATTTGCATGTCTCCCTTTGTTTGTGGATTATCCTGTATCCACTTTTCTTAATAGTCCAGGTTGGCAGAATTTCAACAGGTATAACTAAGTAGTTTGGAGAATATTCCAGACACTGCAAGAAGCTGCTGCACACTTGTATTTATCAATTTCCTAAATCGGGAGCAATACCAAAATCTGCATAGTCAATATCTCCTTTTTTCTTATTAATTCATAAAAAGTCAATTTTGATTAAAGAGTTACATTTATCCATTTAATTTGGATGAACTATGCATCTGGTTACAGAATGCATCTGTTTGTAAACATGGGCATAAACAAATATACAGTGTTTGGTGGACACAAATGAAACAAAATATTCCAGAGAAGTCCTATGGAATTATCATTATGAAGTATATACAGTCTAATCTTGTTTAACTTTGAGTGGGGAGAAAGTAAGAAGAGATTACCCCTTTACCTCTGTCGTTTCACATCTGGCTTAACTTTCTGTAGAAGGAGGTTGATTGGTTTTTCAACATTATTGTGTTGAATACTTAGTTTGATGTTCTCCAACAAAGTGTATGTTTCATGCTGATCTTCTGACACTGTGGAGGGTCTCTTTTCTGAAGAGTCTGGGAAATGCAACAGTATACGTTATTAAAACAGTAAAGATTTTTTGTTCAATAAGCAGAAGGTATTTTAGAGAGTACATATCTCACTTTCTGAAATACCTTCTGCTTATTAAAGTGAAAAATCTCTAGTCAATCTACAGAACCTCTAGTCAATCTATAGAAATTTGTTAGAATGCAAAGGCTTTGTCTGCTTATAGTCTTTACTCCACCATGGAAGTGACAGGATGCATCAAGTATCTGTGTGCAAGAGCTCCTGAATATGAGAGTAATACAAGAAACTGAATAGTATCCAGCATCAGATGTTGCCTGTGATGGTTTGTTAGATCAGCTTTATTGCTTTACTTAAGTTTCAAAAACTAATTTATCTCCAAGAAGGTTATTTTTACATAAAGCAAAATAAATAAAACAAAACACTGTCATGTTTCTCATCAAAGCAACTTTTCTTATCAAACCTCTTCTTAAAAGCCACCTACAATTCATTGATTACTTTGGGCTACATATGAAAAAGATAATGCACAGTTGCATAAAATCCTCCCACCCTGTTTATAAGTTATGACATTTATAACAGATAACATACTTCTTCACACAGATCAGTAATATATTTGCACAAATAATTTGACACTAAGACTATGTAAAGTACCTAGGGGATTGCAGATGCTTCACGTGCTAAAAAAGTTTTTCAACTTGATGGGCACTTCAGACACTACAAAACAACTGTTGCTTTCCATAGCCTCTGCTCTCTTTGCTTTCCGAAACATTTGTTATACTTACTGAGATTTCTCCAAGATATATACAGGGGGTCCCCTGGCTCTTGATGGAGGTTGATATTGTCCCACAGAAGATGGATGTATACTAGCTTGCTATCTTGAGCAAGAGATGTCAAAGGAAGCTAAAAAAACATGAGGAAAGGGAAAACATTTTAAAAACATGAGTGTAGTCTTATTGTTTAAAAAGATGCTCTTTTACTCATTTTGAAAACAAAAAAAGGTTTATTTATCTTGAAACCAACAAACAGGAATATCAGATGACAGGTGATGTCTTCTAAAGGAAACTGCATTCAACCAGAGCAAAGTCACGAGTACTGCAGCATTTAATCGCCTTTTCAAGTTTAGACTAACGTATGAAGACCATTCAGTTTTCTACAGATATCTGAAGAAAATATTTATGAGTTTATATCCAAAAATATTTTTTGTGCACCAAACATGTTACTTGATTTATACTACTTATCATGCCATACCTTAGTGTTTTCTGACCTGATTAAGATTTATTATGTTTGTCTATGTGTTGGTTTTCCCGAGAAGCAGAAAGAATTTGTATTTGCATACAAATATGAAACATGTATTTCCATTAAAAACATATGGCACTCAAAACAATAGTTGCATGATTGTTATATAAAATTAAGTGCCTCTGTAATCATTAATACAATAAGAATTAGTGGGCAAGAAAAACTTACTACTACTGTGTCAATTTAAAGTAATAATTACAAGATATTATGTCCCATCTTGGGTTTTCCCTGCTAATGCATTGCAATTTTCCAGTATGCTTTAGATTTCATTCCTATTGGTCTTCAACTACATTTCATGGAAAACCGTTCTTCATTCTAGATGTAGGGTTTTTTTAAATTGAGGGATAATTTTAAAATTAAAGTGCATATAAGAAGATAGGAAAACACTACTTTTTTGTGTGCATCATATACAAATACCTACTGAATTTGGTACTTACATACACTAATCATGTAAATTTCAAAAAACACATCTGCTCCTTAAAATGGGAAAAGCAAAATACTCCAAAGATAGCATCCATTCTACGTTCTTTTGTTCTACTCATATAGTAATGAAACTCAGTGGATTTTGAATAGCAAAAATTATTGGTGGAACAGAACAAAAAATATTGACCAATAATTTTAAGAGGTTTCTATACTAAAGTATGTAACCCACACAATATGGTTTACAATGTATTGCAATTTGTGAGTTCTCCACAGACCCATCTTGTTTCCTCCTACATATCAGCCTTCTCTTTAATGAATCTTACTCTCTAGCTTTTTAAAAGAGAATAGCTTGGCTAGAATTTGAGTGCTGTCTTCACGCATCTTCCTCCAAGAATCCTTGCAGAAAACAAACCTATCTACTTGTATTATAAAAAACAGGAACTGAGATTCAAGCTACTCAGAAATTGCTTGCCTACTTTTTTCAAACCAAACTCTCGAATTTAGCTTGCTCTAGTATTTGCAGTTCTAATATGAGGAAGCCACTTACCTGCACTCCATCATTACAGTGTTCAGATGTTAGAATGAGTCCAGGTAAGTTGCTGGGTAGATCCAACCGTCGGAAATACCAAACTAGGTTCCAGAAAATTATGGGGTGTTGATTGATGAATTTGGATGTATGAATTACTTGCTCTCCCTCATTTTCCAACAGTGATTCAAGCTCTTTACGCAGTACCAAAGGGCTCAAGTAAGGTACAGATACAGGGAGAGGGTTAGCTCTTTTTATTAGAGGATCCTAAAAACAAAACAACACAGATAAAATAAAAATTGAGGGTATTTTTTTACAAAATCAAATATTTTTCTTCCAGAAACACTCTTCAGGATTACTTTCCCTGAAAATCCCCCATTGCACAGTTTCTTTTGATATTTGAAATAAGCCTCTGGAAGTACTGAACACGTAACTTTAACAGCATGAGCAGTTTTGACTGTTGATGTGTTTCTTAACTTCAAAGAACCATCACCTAAGTTTTGGCTATTATGTGAAAAAGAGAAGATGATAATTTGTTGTAACTTGTTTCTGATTGTGCAGTTTCAGGCTATCTAAGCCACTACTAAGCCAGTGGCGATGGAGATCACAGAAAAATGTCAGTAATTGTATCAGCTGTGGAACTGAATCAGAAGTTCACAAGTTAAGACAACTTCTTGCCAATAAAAAGCATGAGGATAGAGGAGAAACATTGTTTCACATGCAAGAATAATGTAATAGTTTCAGTACTCCCTCTTACCTTCTCCCATCCACTCAACAGGTAAGGCTAACAGAACATAGAGGAGGAGTGTAAGTAAATGCATGGCAAAGAACAAAAACTTTCACTCTTGCAACCGTTGTGTTGTTTGCACTACTGTGTTCAGTCTGCTGTAGAATTTTGATTACTTTTAAAACAAATGTCCAGTTTTAGAAAGACAAAGACTTCACTCTGCTAGAGAGAACATTTCAAATCAAGCAGGACCATTTACAATGTACTGATAAAACAATTTTAGATTAACTGAACCAAGATATTTTTTTTTTTGTCATAAGAACATGAAAATATGCCTGGCCATTCCCATTCCGCAAATGGACAAGAATGGTAGTAGTAGAACATTATTCATTGCAAGTTCATTGCATTCAGTATTTTGCTGTCAACTGTGCAGCTTCTAGACTTACCACAACTTCTTGCAAACTATTTGGAAGACTAACTGTTGAAATGCCATGAGATGGTCTCTGGGAAAGATCAATGTTTTGCAGTGGACCTCCAACACTGTGGCTCCGAGTCAAGGACACTCCTCTTTTTGGTGGATTATTGGCAGATGTCCTCATGGTTCCGGGATCTCTATTTTGTTCTTCTGCCACATCACTGTTTGGATTTTAGAAGACAATATGCTAATATGAAACTATTCAGCATTCCTATGGCAACAGGAAGGAAGCACAGAAAAACTGCCAAGTAATTATCCCAAACCAATTTTCTCTATTAATAAGGAGTCATATTTGCTCAGTTAGCTCTGCAGTTAAGAGAAAACAAAACAAAATGCCTCTCAGGAAGTATAACCATCCCTCCAGAAAAGCAGCTAGGTATAACCTAGGACATGAATCTGAAACCATTGCAGTTCTGTATAGGTACCATTGCTCTGGTGCAGCTTTACCTTGCTTAGAAAAATAAACAGTTTTGTCAACTTGCAAAGATTATCTTGTTCTGACTACGCTAATTTTTACTTCCTCTTCCCTTTATGTTTACTTTCTTTAAATGTCATAAGCAGAGAAAAATATTATAGAAAACAATTTATAAACTGCATGCCAAAACAAATGAAAAAATAAAATTAATAAAATTGCAAGTGTCAAACTCATCCAGCAAGATAATTTAAGCAAACTCCTATTACAGGCTTGTCAAATTTAACCAATACAATCAAACCACTCGCAGATCTGTGAATATTAATTTTGTGCCATTTATAACGGCAATGGATAAAAACAATTTAACTACAACACAGAAGACAAAAGATCAAGTGAAATAGAAAGCATCTGCTTCCAAATAATCTGCAAAGAGAGGGAAGAGATTAATTTAGAGGTGACATTCACTCCTAAATTTGACTTCAGTTAAAAACTTATAACATCAGAGTTAAGAGATTAACATAAGCAATACAACCTCTCATTTTTAGACTATTAAGACTAACTACTATCACATTGATTTAAGTTTTCACAGTCTGACACAGGCATTAGCTCATTAGCTCACAGGCACTGATACTCAAGAATTCAAAATGGAATGATGAAAAAAAAAAAAACCCTTATTACAACAAAATGTCAACAAATCTCAGCAAAAAGGTCACAATTCATAGCAGCACTATTTCAGTTCCTCCCTCTTCCAGCATGACACCTTCTCCTTAATACTTCTTTCCTCAAACTGTTTCAAAAGTGGTATTGTTTTTCAGAGTTTCAGGTTTACATCAGTACTATGTGTCATAGAATGGATGCTTAGTACAAGCGTTGAATGCTCCGAAAGCTTTCTCTCAAAAATTAGTGTTCTAGCAAATGGACTTATTTTTCCCCATAATGCAGTATCCTTGTTAAATTCTAAGCATATGCAAAGGAGAAGTAATGCTTAAATTTCTGTGTGTCTTTAAAATGTGTGTTCTAACAATACTGAGCAGCAGTTTTACTCAGTAGCAGACAGACCTGAAGATTTATTTCTATGATTATATCTCTAAAATTCAGTCATTTAGTGGAACCAGCTTACTTCAAATTGATAAAAGCACACTTAAAACATGCAAAAACAATGAAAGGAAACAGACAATCATCAGGTTCCAATTGTACTTCTCCACCATATTTGGTACTTAAGCCGACCTTCACTTCAGACGTAGAGGAGAAATACTGAAAGTGTTGATACCTTTCTCACAGAACTAATAGCCCTGTTTTACCTACCTCTGCTCAGCTGTAGAGCTAGTTTCTTCAGCTATGGCGTGGCTGGACTGTGGGTGATCTGAAAAACTGATCAAGTCAGCAACAGCTGGACTGGACAATAGTTTCTTTTCCAGGGGATCCATGGTTAATGGAAGGGTGCCACTCTGTAAACTATCTCCTGAGGTACTTTGCTTCAGGAAAAAGCTAAGTTACAATATGAATGGGTGGGGAGAGAAATAGAAAGGTTAAGACGTAAGCATAAAGTCATGAAAAAGGTTATTATTTTCCACATTTACTTTCCAAAAGTAGCAAAAATAAGGAAATACAGCATTAAAAAGCTTGACAACAGGACACAAACTTCATCCCACTCTCTCCACTGCAACTTGTATAGAGCGAACAAACACATATAGAGATTTGATCTGCAAAATAAGAAATCCTACGCGGGACGCAAATCATTACAAGTGACCTTAGGTTGTCATTGTTCCAAACCAGTAACAATAAATCAATAGCTGACACATCACTGAAAATTGCTGTTATTCTCATTTGTACATTGTAATTTGTAAACTAGACAACCACACACCATTACAGGAACAAGATAAGAGGAACGTGTCTTGCTTTGCTAAGGTTAAGTACCCACTTTGCAGATGTTCAGTTTCAACACTAATGGAAGCTCTGTTTCACAGCAATAACCACTACAGTGAGAATTCATTTTAAATTACCTTAAGTTCCAGCCTTCACAGTGCAATTAAAAGAGGTAAAAATAGTAAGTGGAGAAGCTTAAACTGGAGAACTACTGGAGAAACATAAGCTGGAGCATCTGTAACTAAAAGCTGTTAGTAAATTTAATTTGGGAGAAATTCTTTGCTGACAGATTTATAAACCGCTTCATATGCTTTTAAAAAGTTCATGATTCATTAGCTTTGCCTTAAAAACTAAACAAAGTGAAAATAGACTTATACTTTCTGTACAGTTATGGTTACAAAGAAAATATGAAAAGAAAAAGTGGTAATAAGGCAACCAGTTCTTTGCTTTTTGTCTGTTTTACAATGAAATTCAATAGTTTACATGACTTATAATTTCCTTCGGTACAATCAGACTGTCAAACAGGCAGTGACGTTCTTGCAAACATCTAGACAAAAATACTGGGAGGTATAACTGAGATCCTTTTATGAAAAAATATAACCATGTATAAGTGCAAAGGCAGAAACAGAGTATTTATGAAACCCACTAACCTTGCAGAGCCACGTAGGTCTTTAAATTCAACATTAAGTAAAGGTAGGAAGGTACTTTTACAGAAAGGACAGGTAGTGTTCAAGTTGGAATCATCTGCTGTCCATCCAGCCATAATTTCTTCATCATAAACCAAAGCACCACAAGCTCTACATTGAGAGCAGCTTGACATCAATACCTAGAACAGCAAAGTCTTGTTTCAGAGTTCTTTTATAGGCTTTATAGGCTTAGTATCCACAGGAATTTAAAAGGTATCAGAATGCCAGTTGGGAGGCATGAGTTCATCACTGCTTACTCACCATACTCACAGTTACCTTGTCCGCATAACTCTTACCTATGAAATGCAAATACTAATAATTTCTTTTTGTTAGGTATTTTGAGACGTGAAAGAGGCATTACCCTGAAATGTTACTAATTTACTATTTGCAGTTGCTTGGTCTATGAAGCTTTCAGCATATATGAACTGTTTTGAATTACATTAGTAAATGCACATCTACTTCTCAAAAAAACCCCAAAAGAACAAAAAAACTAAAAATACAAGCCAAAAACCTAAACAACAACCAAACACTTTCTTCTCTTCTAAAGAAACCTTCTGGGTGGTGTGGTGGGTTAACTTTCGCTGGATGCCAGGTGCTCACCAAATAACTCCCCTTCCCCAACTGGACAGAGGGAGAATACTACTACAAAAGGTTTGTGGGTCAAGATAAGACCAGGGAGATCACTCAGCAATTACCATCATGGGCAAAACAGACTCAATTACAGGAAATTAATTTAATTTATTGCCAATCAAAAGTCAGAGTAGGATAATGAGAAAAAAAACCCCAATTCTCAAAAGACCTTCCCCCCACCCCCCCTTCTTCTCAGGCTCAACTTCACTCCCACCTTCTCTACCTCCTCTCACGCAGAGGCACAGGGGAACAGGGAATGGGGGTTTTGGTCAGTTCATCACACGTTGTTCTCTGCTGCTCCTTCCTCCTCACTCTTTTCTCCTGCTTCAGTGTAGGATCCCACCCATTGGAAACAGCCTCTATGAACATCTTGAATATGGGTCCTTCCCATGGGCTGAAGTTCTTCACAAATTGCTCCAGCATGGGTCCCTTCCACAGATGCAATCCTTCAGGCACAGACTGCTCCACTGTGGGTCCCCCACGGGGCCACAAGTCCTGCCACAAGCCTGCTTCAGCAGGGTCTCTCCACGGGGTCACAGCCTCCTTTGGGTAGCCCCCTGCTCTGGGATCGGGTCCTCCATGGGCTGCAGGTGGAGATCCGCTCCACCATTACCCTCCATGGCTGCAGGGGCTCAGCTGCCTCACCATGGTCTTTATCACAGGCTGCAGGAGAATGTCTGCTTCAGTTCCTGGAGCATCTCCTCCCATCCTTCTGCAGTGACCTGGGTGTCTGCAGAGTTGTTTCTCTCACATATTCTCACTCGTCTCCCACACCTGCTGTTGCACAGCAGTTTTTTCTCCCTTCTTAAATAGGTTATCACAGAGATGCTATCACCACTTTAGATAGTAGGAAGAAATTTTTTCCTGTGAGGGTGGTGAGGCACTGGAACAGGTTGCCCAGAGAAGCTGTGGATGCCCCATCCCTGGAGGTGTTCAAGGCCAGGCTGGATGAGGCTTTGAGCAACCTGGTCTAGTGGAGGGTGTCCCTCCCCATTGCAGGGGGCTGGAACTAGATGATCTTTAAGGTCCCTCCCCTGCTGCTGCTCCTTCAACCACTGCTGAATGGCTCAGCCTCTGCCAGAAGCGGGTCCATCTCGGAGCTGGCTGGCATTGGCTCTGTCGGACATGGGGGAAGCTTCTGGCATCTTCTCACAGAAGGCCCCCTGTAGCATCCCTGCTACCAAAACTTTGCCACACAAATCCAATACAAGTGGAAAAAAAAAAAAGTTGTTTTTTACCTAGTAAAAATCTCATTACTAAATTAGATTGGGAACTGGAAAAAAGATGGTAAAAAATAGCCCTGTACTAGCTGAAGAACAGTCTATAATCCTTATTTTTTAGGCTTTCTCTTACTTCATTGTTTCACTCGCACAGGAAAAACAACCAAAAAAAATCACCAAACACAGCATAAAATATAGTTCTACACAGCATATTATATATTTCAGATCTAAGATATTTTAGATATTTGCCCAATGGCAACGCTTTTACCATGCCATGCCCCTTACATAATGCAGTGCAGAAGTTTGAGAAGCCTAGATCTCCAGAAAATCAAACACAAAAGAAAATTACATGGGATCTGGCAAAGTAACACCACAGCTGAAAGGAAAGTGACAAAGGCAAACACAGTGACCATTGCCTACATTATCTGAAGTCTGAAAGCATCTACAAGTGATAACTGAAACAGAGAGGCATACTAAATCATTATTGTGATGGGTTTGGCTGGAGTAAATTTTTTTCATAGCTGTCTTTATGGTGCTGTGTTTTAGACTAGTGACCAAATCTGCATTGATAACATACCAAAATTTTAGCTACTGCTGAACAGTGCCTTAAACATCATCATGGCCTTTTTCTTCTCATTCTGTCCCTGTCCCAGCGAGGTGGCTAGGGGTGGACAAGAGTTTGGGAGGGAACACAGCCAGGACAGCTGACCTCAACTGACCAAAGAGATACCTATATAACATCATGCTCAGCGATAAAACTGGGTGTGTTGTGGGAAGTTTTTCAAAGGTAGCTGCTGCTTGGCCTGTCATCATGCTGACTGACTGCCTTTGCATTGCTTGTCTTTTTGTTGTCGCCTTCTTATCCCCTGCCCCCCCAATTCACTTATTAAACTGTCTTCGTCTAGACCTTCAAGCTTTTATTCTCACTTCTCCACTTCTGATTCTTTCCCCTATTCCAAAGGGAGGGTAGTAAACCAGCACCTTGGTGAGGGCTTAGCTGCTGGCTGTGATCAACTCACCACAATTTTCTAGTAACAACACATAATTTTCATAATGGGGGGGAGGGGGGGAAACCTGAAAAGAAAAAAAAGAATCTTGTTTCCTCTCCAAGATCTCTCTCATTTCAAATTTTGACCCTTCCCTCAATTGTTTCTACTATGTATGAGAGAAACATAAAAGCATTTAACACACTTTTCTCTTTTTAAAGCTACTGTCACACCCTAGGCTAAAAGCATCAAGCATCTTTGCAGTAGAAACATGGGAAAAAACATAGTTTGAAAAACTCAACCACATCCAACTGAGCAGGTACAGTAACACTGAATAATTACATCTTTCATCTATGAGTTTATTAATCTTACCTCCATTGCATAGTTCTGGAAAATGCTGGATAAACTAGTATTATGTGAAGAGCTGTGCTCTGACTTCTCAGAATCTAGAACTTTCATACTTCTTGGGAATGAAACTTCACCTGTACAGAAAGAGTTGTTTTGGTCTTGTACTAAAGGAAGGAATAATTTATCCATTCTCAAAGAAAATAATTTCTGTTTAATCAAGATAGAAAATTGTACCAGCAGATCTCCAAATATACATGTAGCTTTGTAACTTCACTGATATTATAAATACAATATAGATAAATACAATTTTGTGATTAACATTTCAAAGGTATTTTTGTCTAACACAATAATACATACCACAGACTGGTAAAAGAAAAAAAAAAAAAGCATCAGTGAATAAAATCTGAAAATACAAAGCAACAATAAAGACTGTCAAAAAGCAGTAGGATTGCTAAACATACATACCCTAAAAAGTTGTTTAAGATTTCTTGAATGACACATTCATATGTAAGTAGCAAATAGAAGGACAGTACCAGGTGAGACATGATACCAAATATACCATTACTGTGCTTAAGTTTTCCCTGGCTAACATTGCAGTAAAACAAAAAAATCTTTCTTTGGTAAGGCTGGGTTTTAGGGTTATGAACTTTGACCAGGAAAAGAGGAAAAGGAATTGGAATATATTTACCAAAAGGAAATGGCTGGCATTAGTTTCAGGAAGCAAAACTATCAGCACTACTTCCCCTGACAAGACCAATCAAACTTTCCAATTCAACAAATCACTACCAGAGCCCCCTCATCATAAAGTAGGCTCCTCTGCTTCTTCAGCTAAAGTTTATGTTTGTGAATAAATTTTACATATGCTGCTGAAGGCTGCCACTCTTTATAGTTAGTTCTTATAACCCTCCTAACTAACTGGAACTACAAGATATCTTGTCAATATTTTGCTAGACAGGGACAGCTTATGTCCAGTCTGCAAGATAATTCTTCTCTTCATGCAGATGGCTTTACAATATTCACATCATTAAAGTATTGGGAAGAGAGCTAAACCAAACCCCCAGCTGGCTCAGCAACACATCTTTATTTCAAAATAAGAATCAAATCTAATTGAATCAAATCTGAACTGAAAATTTTAGCTTTACTTCACTTGGTTTTAGAACTGGGGGGAGGGTACAATTTAGCAAAAGGCATATATTCAGCAATTTTTTACCTTCATGACTTCAAATCAAGTATGCATCCAATACCTCCTATACCACAATAAAGCTAATTCATTTTTTGTGTGTGTTGCTTTGGGGTTTTTGTGGGCCTGGAGCTGGGGGGTCGGTTTTATTTGTTTGTTTGTTTGTTTTCAGTTTGTTTTTTCTTTCCCCTCAAAAGATCTGCTCCTGCTAGTTGTGTAACTATCTGCAGTTCTTGAACACTGCTCTGCTCTTCAGTAGTAATATCTCAAGAACTTTCAGGGTATTATGACTTTACATGAATGAGCAGGTGTTCCTGGCTAAAGCTAGCTAGGAATCTTCCTATCATATACACACAGGAACTATTTTTGCAGTTAAATCCCTGTATTTTGTATCAATTTTTTATACATTCAACAAATAGAGAAGCATTAGCTATTTGCTACTGCCAGTGAAGAGTATAGAATGGAAGTACAAATTTGTTTGTAATCTTAAGGGCTTCAAATAATTTCAGATTAGCACCGCTTCCACTGTTATGAATGATTTCACACATAATAGTTTTCCCTGTTTGTTATATTATAAGCAAGGAGGGAGGGGTTGGGGGTGAGCAGGGAGAATCTCACCTGCACTGTAATGCTGTTTTCCTACATCTCCACTGCTACTGCTACTGCCAAGACTAGTAGTGCTTTGTGCAAGCTCATTTGTAATTAGCCCTGGGACTCCAGTTCTTGATGACAGATTATCTCCTAAAACATTATCTTCAAAACCAGCAGGGAAGTTAAAGTCTGGTCGATTGTTTTCTTCCTTTAATACAAGAAGAAGAAAATTAGCATTTTTGAGTACTTCCAGATCTACTATTTGACTTCTATCTTTACCCTAATAAATAAATAATGAAAGTAGCAGATTAAAATGAAATCCTGATGTAAAAAATTTATTAGATGTAAGATAAATCTACCAAACCCCAAAACCAGCAGATACTGGACAAACCAGAAGGATGTTGGAAAATGAAAGGCTTTAGCAGTGAAAATACTTATCTGAGGATCAAACCGAGTGACAAAGCGACAGGGAGAAACATGAAAAATTATGCAGAAATCGTGACTTGGCAGACATTATACAAAATGAAGAAATTATCAGAAAAAGGTCTGACAAACTCATATTTTCAGAATTGAAGACATGAATGAAATATAGCGGCCGAAATGATGCAGCAGTAACAGTCACTAAGACACAGGATGCAACAAAGTTTAATAATTAGGATATTAAAAAAGGGAAGCTGGACAAATAAAAGAGGAGACAATGAAAAGATCCTTGAAGGAAATTAAAGTAAGTCATGTTAAGGGAATTATGATGTGCCATTAAACAAAATTCTATGGAACAGAAGTAGTATAGTATAATAGAAAGACACACAGGAAAACCTAGGTCATAGGGAGGGAAAAAAAAAAAATCAAGAAAAAAAGCAAACCAGTAGGTTTTCATCATCACAGGCAAAATCTGGTTCAAAAAAATTACAAAAAAAAGAATTATTTAATAGAAAGGACCCTACTGATAACACCAGTTAAATTTGTTACATGTACATAATAAAACCAGACAGCTATCTTCCTCTTTCCCGCCTTTTATGGAGGTTGGGGAAAGAAGGGAGAATTTGAAAAAGGAAAGCTATCTTAACAGTCTGAAGAGGGAAGACAGAATATCGTTAAAGCAAAACATCAGATCAAAGGTCTAACTGCACCAAGCAAAGGCCTTTCTAAGAAACAAAAGGATGTTTGGAGGCACAATAACAAGATGTATATGGAAAGGAGGAAGTAATAATAACCATCCTTCCATCTCTTTCATTCATGCCATTATACTCTGAAATGTTTTACTCCAAAAAAGACTTTGTTAATCAAGTGTGCTCACACAAGAACTAGAACATTTAGTTTCCAAATTCCTGACAAGTGAATTTACTAGATCTCAGGCTGTGCTTCACTACTTTCAACTTTAATCCTCACCAACTTGAGTTCTTAGGTTTGTGATTTGTTTTCACAACCTTTTCTTAATTTTTTAAAGTAAAACAGGCAGTATGACATCATTTAAGATGACATAATTTTGTTCTTACTAGGGTTTCTTGGTGCAGTATTTAAAAATATAAATAAATAAATGAATAAATGGAGGGGGAATGTTGAGAACAAAAAGTCAAAGATGAAGTTTACTGCATCAAGACCATTTAATTTGCTTTTGTCTGAAAAGTGTTTTTTTAATGACAGAGGAAAACTCCACCATACATAAAATGCAATTTTTGTTACCTAGTAATAGTCAATACTTAATAAAAACCACAATCTTATGAAGCAATCTTCTAGACACAGAAGTTACCCCTCTAGCTTTGTCTCCTCAAATTTTTCATATTGAAAAACACTTGCCTCATCATCTGAGTAGCTATATGCTGAAGTTACAACTCCCCACATCTTACTGGCCACACTGGCAGCCTGCTTCATGCCTGATTTCAGAACATCCATTTTTGGTCCAGACAGTATATTGTCTAACTTCAGGTGGGATAAAGTTGTTACAACAGATCCTAATGAGCCATGTGGAGAAGAACGACCCAGTCCTGTCAAAGATGAAGACCGTTCCTTTTGAACTCGCGGATGGGTTTGTTGCTTTGGTCGTCCAGTGAATGTTTTGGATCTGGAGACAGAAGGACTTCTTCTATTTTCGTATAACTCCGGGGATGGCAGGATGGGATCCAAAGGCAGGCTTGACCTCCTTTCTTGGGAGTGACCAAGTGTACCAGAGGCTTCTGCTTCCCTATCTGCCTTGTGTAGTTCCATGCTGGGAAACTTATTACCCAATGGGTTCTTCAGGTTCATATAGCTCTCTATTTCATCTGCCAAATTACGTGCTGCAACTGGTGACACCAACTTTTCCTCAGGTTCTGGATGCCTTGGTTGCATGCTGTCAGTAGCCAGCAAAGATAAAGGGTCCAAGCCTACTTCAACATCTTCCCTTTCTATAGGCTTAACCACTCCATAAAAGCTATTCCTTTTAGTAGTTGCATCTTTGGATTCTGGTTTCTGGTTTTTGGACTCAGCTGACTGTTCAAGGTTCATGTCTTCCACAGCGGTCAGGTTTTCATCTCTTCCATTCTCAAGATGCTCCTGTCCTTCCCCAGGTTCTTCCAGCACTGGTGAAGACCTACGCTCCAATTCCCAATCACTCTCAGTCACACAACTCCAAGTGCCATTTACACCAGAAACCTGCTTGTCAACAATACTTTCAAAGCTGTGGGATTTATTCCTATGAGAGGGTGAAGCTTTGGCCCCAGATAAAGCTGCTGTTAGGATCTTGGCATCTGCTCCCATCATTATTGCTATTTCTTTAGAATGCAAGTCCAAGCTGCCTTTTTTCAGCAGCATGCCTGCTCTGCTTTCACTGCTGAAACTGCAGCTTCTCTCTGAAAACAGTTTCTGCCTCTTCTGTCCTTTTTCACTTGTTTTCTTAGGAGAAACATCACCGAAGACTACATCTTCAACTGAATCCTGAGTTATAAACAGTGGGCTAGAACCAGTTTCTAAAAGAGAAAAGGCATTAATAGGTACTGTAGCCACCAAAAATGTTTATTTCCTGAAATCATGTGAAATTTCCATATCTCCTTACTCCTGAGAAGACTAGGAGCACCAGAATCTCAAGCTTATTCTGCTTCTGAAAAAAAACGTATCGTGTGTGTCTGCACAACACAGAAGCATTACTTCATTTATGACAGAGCCATATTTAGAAAAAGGTAATTAAATTTAGCATGTGGGATATATAATCTAATCTTACAAGTATTCCCATTTCCTCAGGGGAATTGGGAATATTTATTGCCTACAAAGTTATTTTAGCTAGGCAACAGCCTCCAGAAGTATGGGAATTTTACCACATTGGGACCCCAACAGAGGACCATATTCACTGCTGGAGGATGTCTGAGTCTCATATCGATGCTGCTTCTCAACTAGTCATCAGCTCTCATAATTGCCAGAAAGGTTCTGGGCAACTTCCTGACTGAAACTCAATTCTTTGCTATCAAGCTACACTGAAGCTGGACTACATTGCCTTAGTCAAGGACAACCACAAATACGGAAAAAAAAAATTAGCTCCAAGGTTTGGCTTTTATATATCCAGAAGTCTTCCTCATAATAAAGCTTCAGATACGTAAATAAGTTTTGTATGGCACAAAGACAACATGCATTGTTCCCAGATCATACATTGGCAAAGTAAACCACAGCAATAAGGAGCTGGTCCAAGGTCAGCAAGGTTTGGGTGACAAAATCAAGAGCAGAGATACTACTTCTCTTGGTTTTCAAATAAATTACTGAAACACTCTAGTGTGGGACATGGAAAATCTTGATTTCAGTCTACTCAGAACTGATTTTCAACCTTAGAATCCACAGGTTCCTTCTAAGTCACCTGCAAAGGACAGTGGTGGAAAGGAAATGTTGAAACACCTGCACCTTGAATAGAAGTTTTGTTTCTTTTCATACCATGAAAAAGACTGCAAAACACTATAGCACAACCAGATCAGGACTTCAGCAAGTTCTGTTTCACCCAGTGACTCACCACCACTGCTTTTCCTTCCAATGCTATCAAAAACGCCTGATGGAACTTTCACAATACTGTTACCCCAAGCAGGTGGGTCTGTTGGACTATGAGTTTCTATATTCAGCGGTTGCTTTTCATCAGATTTCTCAGCACAAAACTCTGTAAGAAAGAGAATGTGAACTTTAGTTAATTTAACTAAATAATTTTGTTTGCACTGTTACAGTAAATATAAACTCAACCACTGTTCCCTTATGTAATTATAACCTAAAGGATCAGTCCTAGTAGGTACTCAGCATTTCCTGGAAATAATACCCTGGCAGATGACAGTAGACAGTACTACGCATGGAGTTCTTAGCTGTTCACAAGGCTAGAGCATATGCCAATTTCTTCCCTTGGTATTTTTTCAACTAACCAAAGTAGAGCAGGAACAGCAATTCTCAGATTTTCATGCAGGGCTATTTGTCTAATGACAGCTTTTGAAGCCCTAACTCCCATTAAGGATCTAGTAACACAGATATGAAACAAATTCAGTAAACAAGAATGACAAAATACAGAAAAACTAAGGACAATATCTGGATAGGAGACAGGAGGACCATATTTTCCACAGCTGGTTAAGGTTTGTAGAAAAAGTAGTTCCTTTGATTAGATCAACTAGTACAGCTGAAAAAATGGTCAAGTTTTCAAATACACAAATGAGAGGAATGGAATACAAAACACTGTGTGCCCCAGCACATGTCCAATTTTTCCGTCTATATTAAATTAGTCTAATAAAAGGCTATTTAGCTACATGTATTCCACTGCTATTATCTAGGGCACAGAAGTAGTCCACTAGATTTCATACAGTCCTGTTTTGACCTTGGCAACATTATGAACAAAAAACACTAAGTATTTGTGGTAGTCTAATGCATGAAGCAGATTTATAACAAAAAGCCTTCAGCAATGTAAACATGTATACTTAACCTCCTATGAGGTCTTCAGCTTTAGAAGAAATATCTTTCTCTACTTGTGTTTTAGTTGCATGAAGACTATCCCCATTGTGTCTTAGAAGTTCATCCTTGGATCCATAGCCCTGGTCTGACTGACCTGTTTGAAGGAATACCAACACATGCCTCAGCTTTGTTTTTCTTTCCTACATTTGTTTTTCAATAAGAAAATAAAAGAACTGAAATTAACTTGTTTCACATTAAGTTTCACCAGAAAAGTTCATAGTAAGATAACCAGAATGACTAACCTGTGCATAGATCTACTTAGTGATGGTGACAGCAGAGATAATTAGAGTAGTAAATTTGGATTGTATAGCCTAATTATTATATTAAATACAAGTTATTCTCCCAGGAACACTATAGTGACTAACTACTTTTAACACACTGTTATCTCCTTTCATTCCTTTCTCTTTTTATTAGCATGAAATATTTCATTACAGGGCAAGATGAATTCTCAAACACAGCTACAAAACATACTTAGACAAACTCAACAGTAATTGAGCAAGCTTCTAATAATGAATACATCCCTGAAAAGAACTGTACCATAAACTGTACTACATCTTTGTGCTATAGCTTAAAGTATAAAATGTAATAGAAAAAAAAAGTAAAAATTTAAACATTTTAAAAAGTCTGTTCCTCCATGATACTAGTTAAATTTGACAGCTGTAACTCATTCTTTAAAAAAAAAAGTTTACAGTAGTCCAAAAAGTCTGCCACAGGAAACAATCCAGAAAAACTATCGTTTCTTTGTTATTTTTATCTGAAGTGCTGCTGCATGTGCCAAAATTGAAAAATACTATATGGGACATAACCCACAGCAACATGTTGAACAGGATTATTTATATGCCTTAGAGTACCTATTAGAATACATGACTATTTAAAAATATAAAAGTGTAAGTTACTGAGTGCAAAAGGTAATAGGAAGCTCCATAAAACTTGAGAGACAGACATAATTTATCTACAATACATATTATTGCTGCTTATTTTACCAACAAAGAGCAAACATGTAAAAAAGAATTAAATTTAAAAGTTTGAACAGCCTTCAATTATTACATTTGGCTACTGTATTAAAAAGCTTTTATATAGAAAAGTAAGTTCTGACATTCTTTGGTCCTCATTTCTATAGTGTTAGTACCACTGCTTTGCACAGAAGTGAAAACACCCTATCAATAAATGGGTGAATTACCTGCAGAAGTAACATTCAAGGGTAGAAATAATGCACACGTGCATCCAAGGCTTCACACCATATAAGTCTGCACCCCACACCGTGATAGCCAAGGACAAATGCAGCACCCAAGAGACAGCAAAGAGCAAAAAGCAGACCAACAAAGAGCAGAGAGAAGGAAAGTTCAGTAATCTAGGCAGGCATATCAGACGAAGCATAGGAATCAGACTCAAAGTTCTCTTTACAGAAGGACTCAAGATATTAAAAACATGAAGAGTGTGCACGAACCATTTGTACAGCAAGTTTTGAAGTACACACAGAAAGGAAGTTTAGTTGAGACTGTACACAGGTAGGATACGATCAGTACTAAAGCAGATACAGAGAACCACTAATTTTGTCTTGCCACCTCAACTTCTCATGCACTCTTTTTACTCCAGTTTGTCTGGAAGAGTGCACATCAGATTTAAGGCAGAGTTTTTCTCCAGCTTATCACTTATCTTTCTGTTCCCAGGATGTCTCAAAAAGACTCTATGACAAGGTTCTGATATTTTTTATATTTATTTCCAAGTTCAGTGACTACTGTTAAGAAGCTTGAAATGGCCTTTAGAAGCAGTTTACTATAACCGAACATAACATACTAATTCCAGGACAGCTAATTAGGCCTTTCTGGATTACCATCAAGAAGCAACATTTTGAAGTGTTAGCTTCTAACCACCTCAGGAACTTTCACTCCTTTCCTTTAATGTAGAGAAAGGTTTGCAGAGAAAGAAATTATATTCTGAGTAAAACCTATGAATCAATGACAATATGCAAAAATTGAACAGACTCGTATGTCAGAGGCTTCATACATTTTCTGAAGACTAGCATAAAAAGCAAGGTTCACAAGACCACAGCAAGACATTTAACATAATGATACTTCTGCTACGGTTCTATCTAAACCAAAGAAGCAGCATGGTCTGCAATAAGGGAGTAATATTCAACACCTGTGTATTTCTTTTTCTTTACATAGTTCAACTTCAAGCTTCATTCTCTACAGCCTCAAGAAGGGGAAAGTGGTGGCTGTGGAGAGGAAATCAACAGGAGACTAGACAATTTAGCCTTTTGGGGGACTGTTAGTAGTGAAACCCAGTAGAATCTAGTACCTGTGCTAGTGTGATTATCAATGGAATCAAGCCTGACTAAGTCACTGACGAAGAGAGTGTGCTCCCCACTGTTAGCATCATTAGAACTATCCACGCTACCATGGCTCACCATGTCCCCATCACTTCCACCTGTGGTACTCCGCAGAGCTAAAGACATGAATGAGAGTTGGTTAGTAAGAGAGGATTTAACTTTTCAGGTTTTTAAACAAATCTAACCTCTTCAGACAACAGTAAATACTTTTGCTTGCACATATAAAATAATATGAAATTCTAGCAACAGAACTCAGACAATTAATTCTTCAGTGTAGGAAAGATATTCTAAGACTGTTTCAAGCATCAAGTTGGCAATCATCAATTTTTATACACTTAAGGAAAGATTTTCCACTTGTAAAAGCCACAATGTTAGCTGCAATCCCTCAGAAAGCATGTCATGCTCTTGTTCAGCAGAAATTAATCCATTTCAGCAAACTTATTACCTGATATCACAGGTACTTGTGGGCTCTGCGTTGATTTCTTTAAGCACTGCCTAAATTGTGCTGTGCCACGAACTATGTTTCGTACCTTTGTCCACAGGAATATGCCACTGCGGTTACTGCTAGGCCAAGGAGACTCTAAAACCGCCTACAGAGAGAGACATGGCAATTATAGAAACAGTAAGAAAGTTACAATAAGAAACACAGTGAGCAGCTTTTCAAAAAAAAAGGCATTTCCTGTCAACCACGTGAAGAAGGTCAAATATTTGAGTTTTTATGAGCTGTTCCCTTTCACACCACAGCTCTGGATAAAATAGCTGAGTAACATCAAACAGTGGATCAAGATTTAAGTCAACAAAGTGGGTTTTGTTCTTACTTATATACGTGGGCAGCAACAAAAGACTACAGCAGCACTTCTTTTCCTATTACTTCACGTAGTTTACTTCACTAAGAAGTTCCAACAGCACATTACAGGAACTTGAAAGCAAAGAAAACTGAGGGAGGCTACTTCAACTAGCCTAATTCCAGCTTTTATCCATCTTGGATCCTGCTACCTTAAAGGACACCTAGGAACAGATGCTTTTGACATGGAAGCACCAGACAGCTCCAAAACTTGGAAATGGAAACACTGTAAGTGTATATTTCAACAGAATTTTTGGTTAGCCAAACAGCACAGGAGTGTAAAATTCACAGTGAAAAACCACACACTGTACACCCAGTGAACTGTAAGCATGTCCAAAATTATTGCTTGCCTAAACAGAACCAGCAAATCCAAGTGAAGACCCATGAGAAACAATCTTCAAAATGTGCTACAGGACAAGTGGAGTGACAACAGCAACAGAGACATTGGTTCAGTAGTCCTTGTCAGGACTTCTCTTACCTTATTGTAATAACCATAGGTGATTGCATTTGGCTGTATTCCAGCATTTTTCATTTCAAAGAGGACTCTCACAGCCTGAACAGGCTGACCCCACAGTCCACAAAGCTGCATTACAACTCTGTAGCAGACCTGACAAGATGCAGAAATACATAAAGGGACTGATGACAAAGGTTTTGAAACAGTTTAAGCTCTTCTCTGATTTCCAATTTTTACACATGTAAAAGGGAAAGCCATGTGAGAGCAGCTGCTCAATACATAGCACTCAAGAGCCAGAAGAGGGAGCAAAAATTAAACAGGAAGTCACACGAGCAGAATTAACAGCAGTCACATTGTTGAGAATGCTGGATTTTTTTCCACTCAGCTGTTCTGTTTGCGAAATAAAGGAGGGAAGGAAATGCCCACACAAAAAAGCAGGATAACTTCTGCTGTGTGCCTGTGGATGCTACTGAAAGAATGGTATGCTGCACATAAACCCATTAACCCTTCAGTTCGGTAAAGCTGCAAAGCATTAATTCAAAGCACATTTAAAAATAGGGATATTCAATAACTTCCTTCTTGAAGAAGTCTGGGAGAAGACTAGCAACACTAAGTTGGAGTACTTGATCCAGCAGACACTATGGCGGTGATGAAAAAGGAAATGAACTTCCAGTTGCTCTAGTTAAGTGAACTTCTTTGAGATCATTTCAAGGCGGCTTGAAAACAGGCCAAACTGTAAGTATGCTTAACCTGATGGTGGCAGTGAAACACACTATATTTGCACCTTGTCTTCTCTTCCACGTTTATGGTAACTTTTTTTTTAATTCACACTTGCCTCATCTAGTGGTTCCACATCAGTTTTCCTCATTTTAATTAGAACATCATACGCCTGCTGCAGTGCTTTGACTTTGGGATGTGCAACTCTGATGTAGGCTGGCAGACATATAAACCATAGGCTGTAACTATGACTGAAGAGACACTTAGCCCACTGTGGGGGGCTTACGTAATACTTCTTGGCTAATTTATGGGCTGTTTTTATCTCCTGTAAGTGTGAAACAGAACAAGAAAGCAGATAACAGATGTAACATCCTGAATCTAGAAGCTATTACTAACCCAGATAACAGCTTCTTAAAAGTATTTAATAATAATGTAAAAACACTCAACTGAAGCTCCCTTCATACTACTCTCTTATTAAGCCTCTCCGCAATAAAAAAAAACACATGAGAATTAATCCTCTTTTTTTTCTTCCCCATTCAAGCATTTTTTTTTATATCACAGTCTAAAGCTTAAAAATGAGTTTGACAATGAACTGTAATCTCAAATGCTAATTCATTGATTTGTTGTCTTCTGTTTCTTTCTTTCACAAGTGTTGATTCTCAATAGTTACAAAGACCTAACCTCTAACAATATTAACTTACAGTATAAATAGGTAGTGGGAATTTTACCAAAAAACTTCATATCTTTCAGTATTCACACAGTGATTACAGTAAGACTCATCTGACCTGTTTTGTCCTCTTTGCCATGAGTGCTGGACTATTTGAAATGCTGCTTCCAGCTCGGTGTCTGCTGAAGGAGAGCTTGAGCTCCTGTGGCCTGTCAAAGAGCTTGAAATCTAGTCGTGGGAAGTTTTTATAGCTATACAGATGATTAAAAAAAAATAAACAGAGAAGAAAAGCATTTCACATACCTGCTGACAGCAGAAAAGACGTACAAAAGACAACTTGTGTGCAAAGAACTGACAAACAGGAGAATAAAGAACTGGGGTAGGGCGGTGGAGAAAAAAAAGGAGGAAAGAAGATAGCAAGATCGTTTTAGTCTTATTCACAAAGATATCACAAGAAGATGCCTTGGACATTAAATATCCATAGGCAATGGAGACAAGAACCAGACTGCCATCCAGATAATGAAGGTCAGCGAAACACAGATTATTATTACCACGGACAACAGTTGGAAACAGAACCTTTGTGACCTCCAAGAGAGACAGGAAGATAAAAATCATACCCAGAGTGTCTGAAACTCCACACTTCCTGTACAGGGCTGAAAAACACTGACTGAAAGAAGCCTGAAGAGTGAAGTGGCTATTTTGGTTTTTTGGTTCATCAGCCGCAGATCAATAGTACTGGGCAGATCCATTACCCACCCCCCATCCTTCCCACTGTGAAATAAACTGTGCTGCAGTTGCTACAAAATACACATAACCAGTTCAAACAGGAAGAAAGACACTGAATACATGTAGAAAGGTATTACTAAAAGGTTGTCAAGAAGTTATTGAAAAATTAAAACCAAAATCCACATGCCCTCAAACATACACACAAACAAAACATTGACTTCTAGAGCTTCAGAAATTTACCGGAATCTGGGCAGCTTGTATCTTTTTAAAGATTATTCTGAACATTACATTAAAACAAGTTTTGTATCAAGACAAAACATCTGCCTTGCTTAACATCATAAGCATTCTAATTTCTATACATGTGGGTGTTTAACTTGTACCTGTATTTTGGCACTCGCTCCTGTCCATCATCAGCAGGAGATTCTGGTGGCATTATGAACACTGTGTGTTCACTTTTTTGTGACTCATCAAGCTCAATCAACCGTGCATCTTCAACGGAATCTACATCAACCTGGAAAGAGAGTTCATACTCTTAAGTACAGACTTTGGATTTGGGATAATATGTCCCTTTTAACATTATGTTAGTATATGTAAAAATATATTTAATATATACTTTAT